GGTGGTGATGGTGATCCTGGCAGCGGGGCTGTTCATGCCGTGGCCCAGCTAGAATCCTCAGAAGAGAGCCAGGCTGTTAAGGGACCACGCAGACAGCAGAGAGGGTTAAATTGGCACCCGCAGCCATTCTCATTCGTTTTTCTTTTTCTCTCTCTTTTTTTTTCTAGGCCATGCCTGAGTGTGTCAAACACTCCTTGGTTTTGCATGTTCAATGAGACCGGGGCACAGTAGGAGAGAAGAGGCTTGGGTAGGTAGGGAATTAAATGGTGGGAGATAGGGCAGCATTAACACATTACCCTTCCTAGAGCTAAATGTATTTGCTCAGTTCTGCTTTTTTTTTATGCCACAGAGTCTGGATGGGGAAAGTCCTCCATCTGCTGGGCGTAAATGGAGCTGCAGCATATTAGCGCATCAGGACAATAATGGCACACAGAGTTGCATTAGCACAACAATTGATGGGGAATGTGCCTCAATACATTGTGGCATCTCGGAGTTGCAATACAAGTAAAACGACATGTCTGTCAGCGTCTGAGCTGCACAGCGATCAGTGTACTTTTCTAGAATGGCAATGGGAGTAGGGCTTGGCAGACTGGAGCTTGCGGTCATGCTGTTTACTGCTGCGGTGCCAGGCTGGGGAGAGAGACGGAGAGCGCAGAACTGTCCCACTGCAATTGCCTTGACAATGAGCAAAATATTGTCTGGAAGAAGCACTTAAACTGCATTAAATTAAGAAAAAAAGCTGGTGTAAGCTCCCTATTGGCCTAACAATGATATGAGGTAAACAAATCATTGTTTATAGTTTTTAACTGATTGTGTGACACAAGTGCCATTACATTAAGACCCTTTAAACGTGATAACACAGTAATTTTGGAACGGGGACAAAAGTGGAAAAGTACATTTTCTATCATATCTAATCCTTGCGGCTATTGGATATGAATATTGCTCTCTGAGGGTTTGTTTAACACATCGCCGCCTCAAGCTGAATCTTCGCGACACACACACACACACACACACATGCGCGCGTGTGTGCGTGTGTGTGTGTGTGTGTGAGATAAAAATGGCTTGTGCGCCGTCACATCTGCGGTCGCCGCGGCTGTCGTAACCCAGGACAGCTGTGTCCCAGCGCACACATGCTCCTTGGTGTTTGTCCTAATTGATTAGGTTCACCCTCGGCCTCGGCTGCATGTTCATTCTAAATATGGATGCCGAATTAATTTTACCCTCCAGAAATGGGAGACGTCGGCTTCCTGTTCGGGTGTCATGATGCCAATATTACAGCATTAGTCCCGGCTGATGTTGTCATGTTGCCGAGTGTTTGGATGGATGTTTGCACTTGGATTGATGTCCAATGGTACGTTTCCATTTACATTTAGGGCATTCAGCAGACGCTTTTGTCCAAAGCGACTTAACAACAACATATCACTGTCGATGCAGCAAGGATGTCAATAAAACAAGTTTCTAACTGCACCACAATTGCAAGGTTTAGCTCTCCTTTCTGGTATACAGCATGGATAGCTCGCGAAAGATGCTATACAATGCCAAGTACTATTTAATTGCCAGGACGTACGAGAGGGTGTGTGTGTGTGTGTGTGTGTGTGGGGGTGGGGGGGGGGGGGGGTAGAGGAGGGAGGCTATGCAGAGTCATGAACATGAGTCTTGAGTCTCTTGCGGAAGTTGGTCAGAATCTCTGCTGTCCTCAGGGAGCTGGTGAGTTGTGTATATATTATATATATCTATATTTTCGCGTTAAACCCGTATATCATCTTCCAAAGCTCCTTTTTAAAATGTGCTCTATACAAGGTTCACAATATGAGGTTGTGTAAGGCAGCGTTTCTCAAACCATGGGGCGGGGGGGCGGTCCAGCACCAGCCCACCGAGCAGTAGCTACTGGGCCGCACTCCACAAAAATAATGGTTGTATTTGATTATTCATGTTTTTTTGAGCTGTACGCCAAATAATTATTACAGATCAGACTGAAAACTGTGATTGATCCAACCCCTGATTGAGAACTGACCCCCACTTCATTTTGACATTCATGTTCTTTCTGCAATTCAAGTTCTGTATATATATATATATATATATATATATATATATATCCGTCTTATTCATGTGGGTATTTGAGAAAGGCTGATATAAGGTTAAAAAACCTAAAGAGAAAGAATCATTTCTGACTGCATTCTGAGTGCATGACTCTAAAGGAATCAACGCCTTTTGCATGAACTCATATTCACATTGCATGTGATTTGCTCATGGCTCCATTTCCACATCTGCAGCAGCTGCCAGTGTTGTTCAATGGAGCCAGATCATAACATGGCGCAATTTTAGCAATGGACCTGTTTTCACACACAGGAAACGCTTGGCTGACCTCCATTCCACCTCTTGCGCTTCACTGTGTATGGGATGTACACAGAGGCAGGGGCAGGATAGTCTAGCAGTGGCAAGGGGGTTCGAACCCCCCAGGCGAAAGGTCCTGGGTTCGATTCCCAATGCTTACAGCCGACTTATAGTCCGGCTCCTTCATGACATATATCTGATCTCCGCCGTCATTTGCTTCGGATAAAAGTGTGTCTACTAAATGCCTCCATGGCAAATGGATGCGGCTCCTGTGGAGAAACGATAGTGGATGATCACTCTGCTTGTCCTCTTGTTTGCTGGGTGTTCAACCGCTTTTCTTTGTACTGTTGTCAACGATTCCAGGAAATTGTATGTGAATGAGGGATCACACAAACAAACGGCAGGATATGGTTGCCAGATGACACGCAGCACATTGTCGCCGATTCTTCTTCTGCTTCTTTTGTCTTGTCTTGTCTTGTTCGTTGGACTGACCAAAAACCCCCCGTGCCGCTTTACGCAATACAACCATGTATCGGGATATTTATTGTACCCTGGGTAGGTGTGGTTTTTTTTTCCAACATACTCTTCACAAAAGCTATTATAATCCACACTGTATTTCAGTGGGAGTCTCCAACATCCTGTTCTGTGAATGTGAAAGGGTCCCAACCCACATATCTCACTTCTACCGTTGCAATTTCTCTTTTCCCCAATATTTCTGCTGTCTGCAGCAGGAAATTACAACCAAGTGGCTGAGAAAATGACTGATGTGCACATCCTTCCCTCCAGGCAAAATGAACTTTATACGACGCCATGATTTAGCAATAAAGTAATAAAGGGGATTTAATCTTTCCGAGGCTATTATTCTCTTTTTAATGAAAAACAAAAGATTAAAAGTAGATATAAACCCCCCCACCCCAAAAAGAAAAACCAACAGCAAGCACAGTTGAGCAATGGCACTAAACTACTACAACGGTATTTTTTACGAGGGGAGAGTGGGGAGGAGCCCTGAGTCAGATGGTCCAACCCACTCTCTCTGGTTTCCCTTGGTGTCCGCTGTGTTTGTATACAAAGACGGAGGCTGGGACTCAGACTCAGGTCTCTGTGTACTCCTATCCCGGTTCCCTAGAACTACACTACACTGACTGCGCCCAATGAGGCTGCGTGACGATGCGTCGCTGGAGCAGGACAGGGCGAAGTTTGACACACGCGCCAACACACACACACACACACACACGGACACACACACACACACCCCCTTTCTCTGGCTCTCCAGTCTCTCGGTGAAAATGACATCATCTGAGAGTCACAGTGGAAGGTTCTGTTTTGCTTTTTTTTTCCTCCTCTGGTCTTAAACACAAAAACACCAAAGCCTCCAGTGAGAGGCTGTCATTCTCAGAGAGCAGAGGAGAGCTGAGGCTCGTTGACCAGAGCCCAGGTTGAGGAGCACATTGAGAGCGTTTGAGACCAGCGCCCCCCTCCCCCTTCTGCTAAACGGTGTGTGTACTAGTAGTTTGAGGGTCGGTCGGTCGGTCGGTCGTCGGAGGGAAGGCTGGAGAGACGGGGGAAGAAGGCGCCGCCCGCCATGGCGGTGCGCATCTTGTCTGGGGTGGAGGACCTGGTGGCCTCGGGCAGCCAGCTCGCCTGGTCCCTGGCCCACCGGACCCTGAAGAGGTGGTACCAGCAGGGGGTGACGGCCCCTTGCCGACAGCTGCTGGACGCCTGGCTGCGGGTCAGAGGAGGCTGCTACCAGGTGGGGCCGACGCTAAAACCAAGAATTGATCAGAGGGCGGACGAAGATGTGTGATTGTGGGGAGTTTAGTGATTTCGGTGTACCGCCGCTCGCTCATCACCAGATGTGTTGTGTGTTTTTAGTTTTTTTTACCATTCAAATAGTGATGCAGTTTGGATTCCCTTCAACTTTCCCTTCAGGTCCCGGTTGAAGTTCAACATGTGTGATTTAGTGCTGACTGCGTCGGGGCAGGTGTGTGCGCGCACGTGTTGGCGTCTGTATTTGTTTTGTGTATTTTTAACAAGGGTCTGACAGCACATATGGAGCTGATTAGAAAGCGGCGTGTCCGATCGTTTGATCTCGAGCGTCCAGCCGGGTGTAGCGTTTGAAATGCCACTCACTGTGGAAGACCTGAGCGGTGTCTGAGCTCAGGTCCAGCTGTTGGGTTGTTTAACTTCCAGACAGAAGTTTCCGGGCTCGAACCCCCAAAGTCTGCAGTCTACCTGTGTCAAGGACAAGGATAGACTTACTCACATACTCCGATTCAGAGGTGATAATAACCTCTACCTGCTCCTTAATGAGGAGTATGGTTCCCACAATCCCTCTGTGGCTGTTTATCTTTGTCTTTTTACAAATGATGCACACTGTCTTTAGGAGGACGAGCTGAAGGGTTTGTGGTTTGCCACACAGGGTAGGTCCCGCTGCACCGTCTGTAGGTCAAAGGGTGGCCTGGGCTTGGGGGGGGGTCAGGGATAGGGGGGGGGGTCATGTGAAGGCGGTAGCATCAGAGAAGCCGGTTCACGTAATGTCAAGGGTTTTTCAGGAGAGGGGGATGACCTCCCCAATCATGGTCACATGTGTTGACCTTCCTTTTTTAACACGATGACCTGCTCTCCCAGGGGCAGTGGTCCCCTCTTCAAACCCTGACTCACACCAGCGGTGGCACTTCTTTTCTAGAGCCAGTTGGCAAGATCATCTTCAATTTGGGTTTTTGAATGAAATGCTCAAAGATGTGCATGAATGCTGATTAAATAAATGTTTTGCCAGGGCAGAGGATCTTACGAGCCTTTGGTGTTGTTGTTTGGTTTTGATGTCACTGGGGCACTAAACAAAGCGGCATTGATTAATGAATCCAAACGAGTATTGTGCAAAGAGCCACACAATACCTTGTAAGAGACGCTAGGGGTGACGGGACAATGGCTCTTCTCTAACCAACAGCAACAGCAATTATTTGCATTAGGACAAACCACTCCGAATTCAGCCGTTTTGTTGGTTGCTCAGTTATCTTTCAAGTTGATTGCGCAATAACTTATTCTACATATTTGAACTCGGGCCTACTCTGCTATGTTATGCTATGTGCTATGTTGTGTGCCCACTGTTGCTATGGAGATACGGTGCTTTCAAGGGCCGTTTTTCGAAAGCAAACCCCAAACGTATAGGAACATTTCCTGAGTCATACTGAAACTCAGTATGGACGACGTAAGTTGTAATGTGGAAATTTAGCAATTTACAGATGTCACAGAAGTTCAAACCATAGTACCAAGTAGGTGTGGCAGGGAGACTAAAACAAGCCTGCAGACTTTCCGTTGTCTGAGGAGTAACTCACGGAAGACATTGAGAGACATTTGTAAAAAAAAACTTTAAAAAAAACTGCAAAAGTCGTGTCTATAAAAACGACGGCGCAGCTCTCTTGTGGTATTCGTAGACAATGTGTCGCGGCTGGCGGGCCTTTAACACCAGGCCTTCGGAGGAGGTCCGCCCGTCCTGCGGTCGCGCCGGTCGTCAACACCCAGCCCTGTTTCCACCACAGAGGCACCGAGCAGGCAGCCGCGGTGGGACAGACGCACCATGTGTTTTTCACTGTCGCGCACACATTGTAATTGATTTTCCTGACACTTAAAAGTACTCTTGAGGTTTTTTGGGGGTTTTTTTTACTGAGAAAGAGAGGAAGATGCGTTCGCGGTCGTGATATGCTCCTTGGTGGTTTAATCCATTATGGATCGCCTCGAAGCAGCCATTTAAAGAAAAACAAACGTAGCTCAGTTTGACATAATGTGTACTTTATTTATTTAGATAAATCTAAATCCTTAAAATAAATAAATAAAATAAATCCTCCCCATAAAATCCTTAATCACAAAGTATCTAAATGATTTCAAACATGTCCTTGTCAGCGACACCGAGGCACTAATCACATTATGGTTATGTTGCTTAAATGTATTTGTATTCCCCTTAATTATGGTGACCGCCTCAAGGGGCTTCACAGGCCCACTTTACATTACATGACACCCCCCCTCTGGCCCTCAGCCGTTTCTGTACACCTGTAAGATTTACTTTATATATATATTATAACCTTAACGGTGTCTCTTTTTGCAGATGACAGAAGGCCGTCTGTGCCAGATCCACCTGCTGGACGACAGGAACCTGGAGCTGCTGGTACAGGTAGGCAACACCTGGGTCTTACCTCTGATTGGTCGGGGTCATGGTGGCCTGTCGCGCATTCAAAGTTACAGTATACATGGAAGGAAGCGGTCGATATGATTGACTAGGTAACATTTTCATTTTCTAAAATATTGTTTTTAACTAATACACTTTTTCCAGCCCAAGCTCCTGTCCCGTGAACTTCTGGATTTGGTGTCTTCACATTTTAACCTCAAGGAAAAGGAGTACTTTGGCTTAAGCTTCATAGATGACACGTAAGGACATTTGCTTCACATCACTAACATTTAACAGACAAGTAGTAGTTCTCGTGGCATACTAGCACCCTTGCTGTGTCATAGTTTGTGTTGATAAACTTCCTACAAATAATTTGAAACTACATTTAAAAATGCTTACTTTATGCTGATTAATAATGTACAGTAGATGATAAAGGCTCGGTAGAAGGCCTTTGGCACCTGGTGGCCATATTGGTTCTAAATGATAACAAGGTGGGGGAAATGAAAGACGGAACCAAGATGGCCGCTGGGTGAATAAGGCCCATAGACACCGACATCAAGATGCGCCTGTCAATCTCTCCACAGTGGGCAGAACAACTGGCTCCAGTTTGAACGCAGAGTCCTTGATCACGACTTCAGCAAGAAGAGTGACCCTTTGGAGCTGCGCTTCCTGGTCAGGTAAGGGCTCTCAAAGGAGTGTTAGTTATTGTGTCGGTGGTCATGTTTTTTTGGTCGTTGTTCAGTAATTAATCGTGAAATGACTTGTCATTATGGGGAGACCTTGTTGTGTTTGAAACCGCCACAGCGTTTCTCATGCGAGACGTGGCGAAACAGTAGTTTTATTTAACGGTATATTTACATTGATTTAGGCCTACTACAGCTCCTCCAATGATGCGTTCTGATGTACACGCCCTATAGTCAAATAATGACACTCACAATGAAGTTTCTGATTTATCGTAATTAAACGGTGTAGGCTGACCGAGAACGTTTGCCTGTGATTTATTG